TGCGCGTAATTTTCGAGACTATACTGCGTGGTTTAGTTAACGCGGTTGGCAACTCCGCGCATCTCCCGTACACCAACTCAAAGGGTGTGAAGCCCGTTGCTGCGTCGTATTATACGCGAACATCGCGTACGGCACCTACTCGTCCCAATTCGTCTGATCTTCATTTACGTAATGGCGTATATATTCGGCTAGCATTCTGTGTGATCGTTCCAACGCACCGTTACTTTCCGGATAAACCGTCGTTTGTATTTTATTTATCCGGAGTAGTTTACAAACGTTTTTGAACAATTCGCTAACAAAATTAGTACCCTTATCGGTTAACATTGTTTCCGGTACCCCGTGCTCGCATACAATTTTCGTCGCGAATTCTTTTGCTATTGTTGCGGCTTCTGGTTCGAAACGGGTATCGCCTTACTGAACTTCGTGAAGCTATCTTGAAAGGTCAGCGAATATTTATTTCCGTTACTCGTTACCGGCAACGGACCGACAATGTCAAGCGCGTATTTTTCAAAAGGTTTTCCTGGCGTGTCGGTTATTACCAACGGTACTTTTATTTTTCACGACAATTTATTTTTTTGACAAGATTCGCACTTTGCAATGTAATTCTCCACGTCGCTCGTTAGCTTAGGCCAATTGTACTTCATTCTTATTCTTTTTATCATACGGGCTATTCCTTGATGCGCGCCCACCGGTGAATCATGATACTCGTACAGTATCTGTCTCTTTTCTTCCTTGATGAGTTCTTGTTTCTCGCTCTTCTTTGCTTCGCACGTGCATGCTTCCGCGGGGATTCTACTCAGCGCGTCTGCGTTGGTATTCGCCTTTCCCTTCTTGTGCATGATTCATAATCGTATTCTTCGAGCTTTAATCGCCATTGCACGAGCCGTGACCTGGGGTCCTTGACATTGAAAAGCCATATCAGTGCCTTATGATCGGTGACAATTTTAAATTTTGTTCCACACAAATAAGGCATGAAATGCTTCACTGCCTACACTACCGCAAGTAGCTCTTTTTCTGTCGTACTGTAGTTGCGCTCTGCTTTATTCAGCACACGGTTCGTGTATGCAATCGGCCGGTTCTGACCTATCGCACTTTGCGGTAGCACCGCGCCGACCGCGTAACTCGACACGTCGGTTGTGACAACGAACTCTATATCAAAGTCGGGATATGCAAGCAACGGTGCGCTCACTAACCTTTCTTTTAAATTCTCAAACGCCCGTTGTTGCTCGGGACCCCACTCAAACGCTACTTTTTTTTGCAACAACTGTGTTAACGGCTTTGCTATCTTTGAGAACTAGCCTATGAACTTTCTGTAAAATCTGCCAAACCTATGAATGCTTGGATATCTTTTGCTTTCTTCGGAACCGGAAATCCCTGCCTCTATTCTCGATGGATCCGGTGATATCCCCTTTTCGGTTATCACATGTACTAGATATGTGATCTCTTTGCAAAAAAATTCGCACTTATCCGGCTGCAACTTTAAGTTGTACTTTCGTAATCTGTCAAGAACTTCTCGTAACCGTTTGCTGTGCTCTTGCAAGCTTGCACCGTGTATCACGATGTCGTCGAGATACACAAAACATTTTATGCCTTGTAATCCCATCAAGATTGAGTTCATCAATCTCTGAAACGTTGCCGGCGCATTTTTTCACCCAAAAGGCATTCTGTTGTACTCATAGTGGCTATGCGGCGTTGAAAACGCCGTTTTGCGCCTGTCGTCTTCATCCATCGGTATTTGATAGTACCCAGATGCTAATTCATCGTCGAGAAATATTTCGCATTTCCGAGTTGGTCTAATATTTCCGCGATATTCGGCAACGGGAAAGAATCGCCTATTGTTACTCCATTTAATCGCCAAAAGTCCACTACGATTCTTAATTTTCTCATGCCGGACGCGTCTATTTTTTTCGGAACTACCAGTAATGGTGCGTTCCACTGACTTTCACTATCGCGTATTATTCCGCTTTTCAGCATTTCTTTGATCTGTTTCTCTATCTCTTGCTTATGCTTCTGCGGTAATCTATACGGCTTAACGTTTATCGGGGCGGTATCAGTTTTCACAGGTATTCTATGCTCTACCGCGCTTGTTTTAGTTAACGGCTCATATTATACGTCTCATATTATACGTCTTGATATTCTTCACATATCCCGTATAATGTTTCTCTTTCTTCTTCATTTAAATGCTCCACTCTCAGTGCCTCTTTCACTCTTCCGCGACGTGCTGGCTTCTCTGCTTTTACGCTTACGTTCGCTATTTCACTTTCTGTCTCGTTCTCTTCTTCTAACATCTCCAACTTAACGTGCGGTGTGCTTATTTTTATTACTTTCTCTGTAGTGTTTACTACTCTTATGGGACGGAAATTTTTACTCGGCCGCACCAGGCAGCTTTCTATAAATACTCCTGATTGCGTTTCTCCTGCCTGCACGATGCCGATTTGGTTACTATCTGTTATTGCTTACAATTAATAAAGACTTATTGCTTGTACGATAGTTTCGCTTTGGGGTGGTAACTCTATAGTCTTAAACTGGCGTAACCGCAACATATTTTTTCCAAGTGAAAGTTTCTCCGCTCTGTAATCGTGCTTGGCGTTATGCTTTTTAATGAAGTCATTTTCCAAAATGCCTTGGTAGTTGATTGGAAAATCGTCTTTCACCACGTAGATCGGGTGCTTGATTTCTTTATTTTTCAGCTATATGGTGGCTACAATTTTTCCTATGACACATGTCTGATGCCCTGTAACGCCTGTCAATTTCATTTCCGTTTTTTCGGCTGGCGTTCTCACTTTTAAGTATTTTCCTTTGAACAATGACACTGTGGCTCCAGTGTCGTCAAGTAATTCTGCTTCGCCTTTCTTTGCTTCTTTCATTGGTACGGTCACTATATCCAGAACTGCTTGCGCAGCATTTAGCTCGGCTACCTGCAATTCTGCTACTGACACAGATTTTTTCTTTTTTCTATTGTCTTCTTTATCGCTCGATGATTCGCTATCGTCACTTCGGCTTTTTTTTCTTATCTTTTGCTGCATGTATTGCTTTTGCAGTTCTTTTTTTATTTTTCCTGCCGTTCGGTGACCAGCAATTTTCCCTGACATGTCTCGTTTTTTTACAATAATTACACTGCTTCTCGATGGCATTTACTCGGCTGTTGCTCGGTTTTGGCAATGCCATCTTGCTCGATCGGCACTCTCTTTTTCTAATGTCCGACCTTTCCGCATTTGTAACACTTATAACCTTTATGGTTGCTACGTGATTGCGTCGGCATGCGACTTTTTGATCTTATTCCTGCGGCTTTTTCTTCCGCGCTTGCTCCGGCTATTGCTTCCTGAAGCGTGCGTAACTGCGTGATCTTACAATCAACTTAAGTTCCTCGCGTAGTCCTATCTGGAAATGGTGCAACGCCTGTTCTTTTATCGTCTCAAAAATTTTACGTTTCTGTTCTGTCGTGCGTACCTTTCCCTCGATCATAGACTCGTACAGTTCCATAGCAAGTTAATTCACGCGCTACCCGTAATTTAACGCGCTTTCTTTGTGCTTCTGCTTCAGTGAGCTAAACTCTATTTGCAACTTGGTTGTGCCCTTTTTTGCTGAGTATGTATTTTCTATTTCGTGCTTTAATTGTTCGAAACTATGAATATCTCGCGTCTCGAAATCCAGCAACGCTTGTCCTTTCAGTTTAGTACACAATATCGCTTCTAGCAAAGTTCTTTCGTCGACCGAGTTTATACTTTTTATTGCATACGTACACGCGCTCAATAATTGTACCTGTGATTTTCCATCGAACGTCGGTATCATGGCACGCGCCTCCTTTAGTGTCATATAACCAGACAAGTGTGCGGTCTGATTACGCACGTCTGCGGCTGTTTGTTTGTATGTTACGTCAAACGCGTCATCACGCCCCGGCGGATCGTCGTCCCCGTGCGCTCATGTATTGCGGCGTTGCTCGTGTAGTTCATTCACGTGGCGGGTCACCGTATCCATGCGCGCAGTCATTAGCTCAAACGAGCGTGTTAGCTGACGCAGCATTACGTCCACGGGGTCTTGTGCTCGCTCGTTTGGCCTCGCGGCCCCAAGTTTCGCGGTATCTTTTATGCCCAACTCGCTTCTCATTCTGTCGATCTCCCGCTCGACATTTTCGCGAGCCCGAACTATTATTTGCTCGTCATCTAATTGTTCAACCCTGTCCGCGTCCATCGCGTTATTTCTGAACAATTCGTTTTCGTACAAAATTAAAGACGATCTCTGAGTACTACTGCCCGGAGTTTCACCGTTTTCTATTCTTTCGCGATCTACTACGCCTTGTAAATGTCCAGCGATACTACCATCTAAATCGAACGAAAATTCTCTCTCTACAATAACGTTTGGATACAAATTCCGATTTTCTTCGCTTGCCAAATCCCGTCTACTTATTTCTGCTTTTTGGTATAACGCTGCTGGCGCGGTTCTCGGTTCCCGAACCGCCAAAAGACTTTGTAATGTTCGCGCAACTCGCTCGGATTGTAATCCGCGTCGTCGCAAACGCCAGTTGTTGAACATAGGTATCGCTCGCGCTTACAAACTACTTATTCGACTTACAGTGGTTAACCCATATCTCCGCTTACAGTTGTATCTGTGATGCTGCTGACTCAGCTTTTCTCGCTGCTTCGCTGCTACCGCTGCTTTACCGCTTCCGCTGCTTTGCTTGCGTTGGCTGCCTTGTCGCCTTTGCTGCTATTTCGGCTATCCTTTGCTGTTTCCTTGGTGCCCTTCCTGGCCCTTCCATAACAGCTACTTGTCTGCTTGTCGCTTCCGGAGTTTCTGGCGGTGAATTTCGAACTCTTTCTTCTATTACCGTCCAGCCGCTTTCTTATCTCCGCCTTGAGTCACTGCCCGCCGCTTAGCTTGCGTTAGGTCAGTGTTGCCGTGTAACTCGAGACTGTGAGTTCGCAGTGTCTTTCTTTCTCTTTCGAATCCGTAGTTTGCAAGACACCTTTTAATGACTGCTTCTATTTTCTTTGTTTCAGAGGCAGACAACCAATGATGTTGACCCATAACGTATTTGAGGATACTTATGTATTTTCTCTCTCTTTTTTTTTAATATACGCTTTTAATCCAAGAACGTGCCGTTCTCTTTCTCCTTTTTTTTCTTCTTACCCAGTGTCCGTTTCCTCGATCCAACCGGATCTCCTGTTGAGTCCCGTTCCTGACACACGGAATGAGAGATCTCACCGCTGCCACTAAAAATTTGTTGAGTGTCGAGGGGAGTGGACAGTTTGATGAAAGAATATCCTTATTTAAACCTTGAGAGATCCTTTATTGCTATTTCCTTCTTACAATGTTTCTTTACACGGCTGTTACTCACTGCAGTAAACTCTCCGGCTTGCGGAGCCACACAGTGTGTTAGCAGTCTAATCTCAGTCTCACCTCTGCTTTATCTGCGCGATCGATTTATAGTAGATTGATGCAACATATTTTCTATAAGAGCAAAATTCTGAGTGGCTATCGCGTTGCGCGTAACGGGTTGCCGCGTCTTGTCTGTTTGCGCTCGTAGCCGTTAAGAACCCCACCGTCTGTACATATCTGCGCTCCTCCCTCTTAGCCAATAAGCCGCCAACCGTATCAGACACCGGCATAACCAGCGTCCGCGACGCAAAGCCCGCGCGCGTCAATCACAGGCGCGAGCCGCCCGTGGATATACACTGTAAGGGTATAACTCCGCAACTACCTATGTAAATATTTTCTTTATTAGAATATAGCAGCAGTTTAGTTCAGCATTAACCGAACGTGTCGCAATCTCTTCCTTTCATATGTGTTTTATGTGGTTTATATTATTATTATACGTATTAAATTATTACTGTCATTAATTATTAATTATATGTTTAATTATAGGTGGGCTAACTTTTAAAATACACTCAACAGAAATAGATCTTAAAGCCTCTTGCACAATGGACGGAATAGCGATAGCGATAGAAATAACAAAAGTTTTAAAGAGTTTATATTTAAAAATAAAGGTAGGAACAGCGGAATCTAACATACAAAAATACACATGTATCAATGCAGATCAGAAAATCGGAATAAGTAATAGCGATAAAATTTCCGACGAGTTGAAATTCTGTATTAAAAACTGTGTTATTTCTATCGCTATCGTTATTCCGTCTATTGTGCAAGGGGCTTAATAGTCCACCCATCAAATGTACAATAGATAATGAAGAAAACTTCAAACAAACACCATGCACAAATAACTGTAGTACACTTTTGTTACACTCTGGCGTTCTTCTTGAAAAGCGTGCACTTTACACGATGTTTTCCCCACTCCCAAAAAGTGTAAGGTGTACTACACACTGTACACTTTTTGTGTATGCAAGTAAAACAAACCTATCATCAAAAGACAGTAGTATATACTTTACACTTTCCTTACAATACACTTTTTAGGAGTGGGGGAAGCGTCGTGTAAAGTGTAAGTTATTCGGCCCGTTCTACAATACAGTCGTAAGCTGTAAGTCGTAAGAAATCGACCAATTACAGACAAATTACAGAAGAATAATTGATTGTGATTGGTCAATTTCTTACGACTTACGGCTTACGACTGTATTGTAGAACAGGCCTTCAAGAAGAACGCCAAAGTGTAACGTCTGCAGCCATTTGTGCACGATGTATTTTTGGAGTTTGTAAAAAAGTGACATTTATTTTGTTAAATTTATTAACTATATTTTGTTGACTGTCAAAATGGATAAAATAAATGCAGAATTTTTTGGTTATATTTTGGATTCTGATTCTAATTTGTCTGATTTGTCCGATGAAAAGTATGACGAGATTGTTTCTGAATCATCTGTTTTAAAAATAATTTTTAATACTAATTTAACATATAATTTAATATTATATTTTAAAAATTTATAATTTATATTATATTTAAAGAATGTTATATTAATGAATTTAACATATATTTTAACATATATCTTATTATATATATTATGTAAAATTAAATACACTAACCTATTACCTCACTTAATGAACCTATTACCTCACATCTAACCACATTCAACTGAGTCCTAAAATGACATTCAAAACATAAACAAAGAAAACCTGTAACGTTACCAGTGATGAAAGATTTGACCGGTTATCACCAAGAGCACCGAGGTGGTGGGATGGGAGCCACTGAGAGCACGCACACAAGCGAACCGTGACGTCACGCACACGGACGGCGGTTCTTGCTTGTGCGCGTCTTCCACTCTTGGTGCTGGCCGGTCAAATCTTTCATCACTAAAAGCCATCACACATAAAATTACTTAAGACCGTAAGACGTAGCTGTAAGAAAATTGACCAATCAGAAATTTACGTTCAAAAGTGATGGCAACATAGTATACATTCTGATTGGTCAATTTTCTTACGGCTACGTCTTTCGGTCTTAAGTAATTTTATGTATAATAGCCTTACGTTACACTAGTTTTAGCCTGAATCCTCATGCAAACACTGGTCTAGTTTCCATCGAAATCTTCAACTTAGGTACAGATCAAATTTAGTGTTCCGTTTCCATTGAAAGTAGAGTACTTATAGATCAAAGCGGAAGCGAAATCAGCGCAATTTAACAGGTTTCCATCGACTTAAATTTGATTCTACGTCGCATTAGATGTGAATTAATGCTTCGGTGGAAACTAGACCACTGGCGCTTTAGCACCAGCGCTCAAGCGCTGTTTCAACTGATGAGCAAAGCCAATGAGAGCTCTCAATCCTCATGACAGCTCCGGTGCTTTAGCGCCGTTTACTCCCACTACCCGCTTTTCACCAATCAACGTTTGGTGTCAAAGCGCCGGTGTCTGTATGAGGATCCAGCCTTACACCACCTCTCAAGGACTGCGTTCGAAAACGTCCCTTGTCAGATGTGAGTGAGGTGACTTGAGTATGCAATGGTGGGGGTAATTGGGTACTCAGAGAACTATTAGTTTTCGAACGATGTCTAAGGGTCATTCTACAATGAGTTGAAAATGTCCTGTTGCCAGTTGCGAAAAGTAGCAATTACGAAAAGAAAAGTATTATTTCTGGTTGCGCTTTGTCGTTGCTAAAAAAGAGTTGGTCAACTTTTAACTTTTGTCAACAGCAACTGGCAACCACAGCATGTAAAATAATACTTTTTCCCTAGTAGTTGCAACTGGCGACGGGACATTTTCAACTCATTGTAGAATAGCCCTAAGAGAAATAAATGTAAACAAATTAAAATGGATAGTGTTGAGTTACGTAAAAAGCGCTTGATTTCTTTGACCATAATAACTAGCAATGATTTTTGTAGTATTTTCTGCAGAAACAATTTAAAAGATATGTTAGTAAAATACTATATTCTAGACAAGNGTACTATAATATGCATGTGGTTAGGATACACACTTTTTGCAAATTTTGAAGAAAAATACAAACAAATACTTACCCACTTTATCCCACAAAAGCAGATATCCATTCTCCGTAATTGCTATCTTATTCTGATCTTTAATAATCAGATATCTCGCTAATTCAATTTCGATGTCAGACGACATTTTACTTCCCGCCAAACAATTACCTTCTTTTCCTTATGTAGCGAGGAAGGGAAAAATAAGCACTCTCAAAGTAGGTCAAATGTGTTTTCGAACGCAACAATCGAGAGTTCACGGAGAGTTCTCAAAGTGTTTTCGAACGATCCACGGAAGATTAAAAGCACTCGAGGAATGTTTTCGAACGCAGTCAAGGAGGTATAGAAAAAGTGTAAATTACGTCAGTAAAATGTAATACACTTTCAAGGCTGTGTTCCAAATTTATTGCCAGCAGTGCAAATATGAGTGTCTTCCAAATTTACTGCCAGCGCTGGCAGCACTTGCAAACACTGTTCTAAAATGTGTAATAGTACGCTATATCAATGCTGCAAAAGCATAATGATGTCATTGGGTGTGTTTTGCCGAAGTTAGCGCTCCGTAGCGTTACGTAGCGGCTTCATGTAGCAGTTGCAACTGCTGCGTTACTTCTACTGGACAGCATTGCTACGCGCAGTATGTTCTAAGTAGTGGCCGCCATTTTTGTAAGCAGTTGCAACTGCTACATGAAGCCGCTACGTAGCGCTACATAGCGCTAACTTCGGCAAAACACACCCATTAATATGTCGTCACTTCCTGCTGTGGCTGCTGCGTCTACGGCTGTGTTCCAAATTTACTGCCAGCGCTGCAAGTATGTCGTCATGAAAGCAAGCTACCAACATTGGGTGCGTTCAGACAACTCAACGGTTGAGAGATGATCACTTATGATAGGACAATTCTTCAAAATCTGCATCGGGTCCAAAAGTATGATCCAATCAGAAGTGATTATCTCTCAACCGTTGTGTAACTGTTGAGTTGTCTGAACGCATCCATTGTTCCACTTTTGCTAGGCATGCTATCAGCACAAATATAGGTTTCAACGTGGAACGATATTTTAGTGAGTTTCAATGCTAATAGCAGAGAAAGTAAACACAAAACGGATATAATCTAACCCAAAAATGGAAAACAATATGCAAAAAGATGAATATTTGACAATTACATTAAAGAAATATGTGACTCTTGCTTTCTCAGCGTCTTCTGCTGATATGGCTAAATTGTATTTGATCAGAGAGAAGCCTCAGAGCGGCCACGGCCATAAGAGTTTCTGCGATAGCTTTTCATGTGGACATGGTTCTATTCCGTGTTAAGTTTGTAGACATAGTTCTATTCCGTGCTATGAGAATACCGACGTGGTAGGGCTACGCACACAAGCGAGACCGTTGTCCGTGTGCGCTCGTGGAAAAGTGCAGACATATTGGGTGCGTTCAGACAACTCAACGGTTGAGAGATCATCACTTATGATAGCGATTACCATAGAACAATTGATGCTGTGGAAAATAATATCAAATACCAGAGAAAAACCTGAGAGCGGCCATGGCTATAAGACCCGAATTCATAGTCGCTTCTCAAATCTTAGATCTCGTTTCCAATCTCAAATTTCAGCTCTCAGGGCGATGTCCCATTGAGCGGAAATATATAGCGGATCGGAATGTGCGGAACCAGCTCGACCAATCATAGCCATTCCGTTTTCTTTCCTTCGCTTTTTCTGTGGTTACGATTGGTCGAGCTGGTT